CGAACCTCGTCTTCCAGTGCCGACGCTCGTCGTACCACAGCCCCAGATACTTCCCGTTGGGGTCACCGACCGTGCTCACGCCCAGCAACGGGGTGGCGGCCGTGGGAACCTTGTCAATGATCACCGTCGCCACAAGCGTCAGCTCCTCACCCACATAACTGCGCACTGAATTGGGTCCTTGTCTGCCCACCGGCCACGCAATCCGTGCGCCGTGCCCTGCCAGCTGGAAGCCATTCTCAACCTTCTTCGTCCCCGTAGGCACCGTGGCGCCCACCCCAAAGTACTCGTCATTCCAGTGAGTATCGCTGGCGTTGTTGGACAAAAATCCAATCAGCCCGGCCGTTGGCAGAGGACCGACACAGCCAGCACCTTCTGCGCCATCCTTCATTGCAGCGGTGGTGGTGGAGCCGCAAAGCTTTGAGACCCTGTCATCAACTTCTTTCCATTTACTCAATACGGTCTTGATGTGACGCAGCTGCTCCGTGAGCGGCTTAAAAACAAAACTGCCTGGCATTTCATGCTCCCCTTCCTTCGAGTAGAGGGCAAACAACCCATCCTTTGCGTGCAACAGCGTGCTGAAGGAGAATCCCGCATCATCAACAGATATTGGCCCAACATCATATATCCGAGCCCCATCAGAGAGCCACACGTGAATTGCGCTGCGAACATCGCCCAGTTGGTTGATGCCTCCTTGTATATTGTCAATGAACACCACTTCGGTGCACAGCAGCACAGTCTTCTCTTCAATGGTTGTAGTGACAAGGTCGAAGCGACCATTGCGCGCAGAAAAAACATTGGATTCACTCAACAGATGCGAGAGTGGCCCGCTAGCCTCTGCCCATGTCTTCCCATTGTCAGCGGATTCGTACACCCTGGGCCGCCACGAAGAAGAAAAAGGGGCCGCGGTGACCATGAGGAGTTTCCCCTCCCACTCTAGAAGCCTGGCGAAAGCGCAGTCATTGGCGATCGCAGCTTGCGCAGGAAATTTCCAACTCACGCCATTGTCGTCGGAGTAAATGACGGTGCAAGCGGTTATGCCCTCCCCTTCGTTTCCCTCGTAGGCTCGTTTTGTGGCCAAAAGAGGGAAAACAATCGTACTGCCCCCAACTGCAACCCCTCTGGACCCATCAACAGCCCCCAGCCTCTCCCACGAATGCTGCTGCATCGGCGCTTCATGCGTAGACCTCGGCAAGCTGGTCTTCTTCCATGAGACTTGATTTACATCATTCTCTGCGGTCTTCCGAACCTCACCAACAATCAGCTCAAGGCCCCAGTAAGTTTCAAGCCCCGAAGCACCATTGGTAATAACGGTGGGATTCGACGCAAGAACAAATATTTTATTTCCCCTCACCACGGCCTTGGAGCTGAGCAGTGGACCACCACGGCCCTCTTCGGCAGACGGTTCAGTCACAAGCTCTGTTTTCCAGTGATTATCCCATGCAGCGTCTTTTGGCATCTTACTGCCGCCTCCGTACGGGTGCCACTTTGCCCACATGTCAGTATACGTGCCGTATCTACCATCATCGTTGTAGGCAGCCAGAGCAAGTGCAACCATCACACCATCCGCCTCAACGAGGGAATGACCTTGAAATGAGGAAGCGCTCTTGTAGCGTGCTTCTATTCCCTCTTCTTCCCCATCAGCGGGCACCACATCCTCCCTCGGTTTGAAGAGCTCAACCTCCTTCGACTCCGTCCCTTCAGCGCTGGCAGCTTCACTGCTGCCGCGCGCCAGCAATGGCACAAAGAGGAACAGCAGCAGCACCGCGGAAGACAAAAACACGTGCCGGGGCATGTTGGGTCGTCGCTGCTCTCACTCTCCCTCTCTCTCCCTTTCCTCCTTGCGGTGGATCCGCTCAGGCCGCGACGGTTGTGTGTGTATGTGTGTGTTGCCGGTGGTGACTGCAGAGCCTTCAGCGCGCACAGCAGCGAGTGGTGTTTGGTCTCCTTCCTTCTGCGTGTGTGGGTGTGTGGGAGAGACGCAAGGCAGTGCCATAACGGAACGGGGCGTGCCGGTAGACAGAGGGAAGAGGGAGTTAAAGGCAGCGCAATCCCGCAAGGTGGCGGCCGCGGCACCGGAGCTCAGGCAGCAGCGGTGACTATCGCCCGAGACACAAAAGAAGAGATACCGCAGATGAAAAGTAATAAATTCCCGCAGTTCCCCCCAAAATAATAATAATTTTAAAAAATGCACCGGCAGATGTTTTTGCCCCACGCACACAGCAGCGCGAGAGGGCAGTGCGTGTCCGTGTGCTTTCATCGTCCGCAGGGGGAAA